GATTGGAGTTCTAACAAGGATCGCTTGTTATTTGAACAACCGTTTCGGGAAGCGCCTCCAATCCGATCAGGGTATGTTCGATGAGGTTCTGGGACGCATGCAGCAGATGCTACAAGTCCCGAATTCATTGGGTCAGAAGCTGAAGAAAATGGATGGAACAGAGTGAGGCGGCCATGGTCAACCACTACCTCTGACTCGATTTCTGACCTCCCGATACTGACAGAGAAGGATCTCAAGATCCTATTCACTGGAACCTACCAGCTCTCCCAATCTGTCTCTTATCTGGCTGAGCTGCTGAACGAGGACAACACGATCAACCTGAAGTTTCACCGGGACCAAACCAACATCCTCAAAGTAGAGGTCCGGTCGAGACATGTTGGGAGCAAGAGCTACAGGTGTTACATCGATTACGAGCCCGAAACGCTAGGTTATGCGGGAATCAAGCGACATTACTGCGAGTGCGCTAATGGCGCTCGGACAGTCGGTTGCTGCTCCCATGTAGCGTCCGTCGTGTACTATCTATCTTATGCGCGATATCTCTCCCGAATCGTCAGACCTGCGGAGATTCTTGAGTCGCTGTTCCGGGATGGAGCTACCGTTCCTGTTATCAACGAAGATAGTGACGAAGACTGATTTGGGATCTATGTCATGCTCCTAAGTATCATCGTAATCAAAAATAAAAATCCCCGCCGGTCAATTCGATTGAAGTACCAAGGAGGGCGCGCAGCGTCTGCTCGATGCGCGGTAAGATTCAAATGTGTCCCGCGAGATCCTGGGTCAGCGTCAGACCAGGGAATAGCGATTGGGAGCGGCAATGGGCGTTTACCGAAAACCATAGAAATCGGTGGTAGGGAATGAAGTGTTCGCGAATGAACCTATTTGGACTATTCCGATTTTGATGAAACTTGGTGTGCGTGTACATGGGTTTACTAGGTTTATTTGTGACATAGTGACATCCATGTTCACGAAGGTCTTCGGTGTCTGGGAGCTTGAAGAAAATTAAAATTCGGAAAAAAATGATGATGAAAAGTACTGAGGAAAATGGGACCGGGCTAGAATTGTGGCATTTTTCGCCAGCTTTCCAACGAGACCAAGCACGACCCTCTAGCTCTTACCGTTCCCTAGAAAATCGCATTTTAAGATTTTTGAACTTTGACCTTTTTCTCGAAACTGGCCGCGTCGATTTCTGGGAGATTCGTGAAAAAGTCTCCTACTAACCGAGAGCTATCACCCTATCTAGTCAGTTTTCCAAAACAGATCGTAGCCGGGATCGCCACGTTATTCGGCTGTACCCTTTGTGAAGGAATGAGCTCTTGGCTCGGTTCCTGTCGAGCAAAGCAGAACGAAATGCGGACGTCGAACTGAAGGCCAAAATGATCTCCGCACTCGCATTCGTTCCTCCGGAAAGGCTCGAGGACGCTCTCAGAGAGCTCCGAAACGAATTGCCAGATGAGTTGCAAGCAGTCCTGGACTACTTCGAAGACACGTGCATTGGTCGTCTTCGAGTTCTCAACGTACGGTTCGCTGGCACGACGGGACCCTTTGTTCCAGTCTCTATGTGGACGGTTTATGAGCGCACACTGCGAGGGGACAGTCGCACCAACAATTACGCGGAGGCAGCTCATAGAAGTCTCCAACGCCGATTCCGCGCCGAACATCCTGGCATATTGAGCTCCATCGGCGGGATCCGTAGCGTACAGCATAGCAAAGATGCCGACTTGGAACGATACATAGCTGGGCATACCTCGGAGGGCAAGAAGAATAAGAACGTCGAGAACGACCAAAAGATTCTGCGCATCCTCGGAAATGTGGACACGAATACCTTAACAGAGACCATGAGAGGCGTTGCCCACACGTACAAAATGAATCCTTGAGAGATGAATCCTCAGAACTTCGCTGTGGAAGTGACCGCTCTACCTTCAATAGATAATTGACAGCTTCTTATGAAGTCACGAGAGGCACTGATTCCAAGCAAATCGAGTCGAGTCTTTCTTCGAAGTTCGTTCCCCAGTCTACGCCAAACCAGCTGAACCTCCATCGTGGCCGAGTTGTCGTAGTGGCCGAGTTGTCCCCGCGGCCGAGTTGTCGTGGACCGGCCAATAGTACCGACCAAGATCGGAATCCTAGATTATCAGCTAGACTCGATTCGCGTCACTGGTAGGCTCCGAATACAAATACATAGATAGGCTCCGAGGAAGACCTTGCTCCGTAGGCACCAGCAAGCCAAGCAAGAGGGAATCGGAATTCTAAATTCAGTTCACCTGCAGTTCGCGGTCTGAGTCCCTTCAACAAACGTCGAGTCGAGTGGATACATCGGATACGGATCTATCGATTGCCAACAACGACACAGGGTCAGATTTCCCAGAACATAACGGTTATGGAACGGACAGAGCTATCGGTAAAGGTAGGGCTTCGAGAATGATTGCAATTGGATGATCAAGTCTGCCCGCCCTCCACAAGAAGTCGTGTTTTGGATCTCTGAATCTTCACGAGCTGAGATATCGAATATTTACATCCTCAGGCCTCCGTGATGACGGTGTTGACAGCAGCGAAGTTTCCGCTACTGCTTCTGCAGGACCGCTCTCTGGAGGTCGGAGTACGGAAGTCAACAAGAATGAGCCGAATATTCCGGCGCCAGCACCCCGGAAAACGTGGAAATCACAATCGGTGTGTGGGCCTATGACATGGAACGGCCCGGAATCTCTTCTGTTCGCGGTACGACGGGGAAAATTTGGTTGCGCTCTATCCAAGGAGCTCAATCAAGTGCTCAAACGCACTACATATTGCTCGATTCTACCCTTATAGCTTGGAGGCCAGCTTCCAGAACGCCTATCTCTACCTCACAAAGAACCGTCTCAAGTATTCATGTGCATTGTAACTCTTCCGCGTTTGCTCCCGCGGAGAAATCAGCGCTCGCTCTCTCGCCGTCGAAAAAACGTGCGTGTGATTGTGCGAGCTGTTGCTGGCCACCTTGTACGCATTGTGAGGCGTCCTTTTGAACGCTTCTACGCACCCTGAATATAGCGTACACTTGTGCGTATGCTTAGTCTATCGGGAACGAGAGAAGCTAGAGTGAATAGAGTGCCAAGCGGGTCACGATCACGGCATTGATTTCACCCCGAAGCCTCACGGTCGACGACGAGCGGTGCATCCAGCGCACGTGAACGAATTTCTAACACTAAGAGGAAACTATCACCCCGCCAGAGCCAGTAGAGAAACTCAAGTTCCGAATCGCGGGAAGTGAGTGCAGTGATAGTCGAGACCCGATACGAGTTTATGAGTCAGTTATCGCGCTTCGGTTGCCGAAGGAGCATCACATACGGATAATAATTTGTGCCGATGCATCGCCTCACAGGCCCATCAACGGTTCACGGGTCTATAGTATGAAGATCGAGTGATCACACCCATAGTTCCGTGATCTACGCCTTCAGGAGACAACATGGATGATGCGCTGATATACATCTGGTTCCCACAGAAATAAAACGCAAACGAAGGCTTCATGTTTCTACCTACATGTAGAGAGAAGGCATAAGCGAACGACTTAAGGGCGGGGGGGGGGTAGCTTTGGCAGAGTAAACGGGCTTCAAGTAGTTTGCAGGAGGTAGGATAACGATCGGCAGTGCGCAGGGGTGTTCAAGAGAAAATGGATCGAGTGAAGTCGGTTCGGAGAGCGGGGAGGTCGAGGGGAGGCGATTGGCGAGAATATAGTATTTAATAATCTGCCAGGTCATTCCGGTGGCGACTGCTGAATCCGCGGGAGCTTCCTCCAGCGCATCGAGCGGACGACGGCGATCCTCCCTTCCAAAAAGATGGATCGCGGTGTTCCGCCTTCACCTATTGACGGCGAGCGCCACGGTTCTGGTCCGTAAGATCCCTGGTTCCGTCAATCGAGGAAGACTGCCGCACCAAGATCCTCACTCCTGAAGTTCCGCATAGCGATAGTCTAGTCGTCGATGGAGGACTGCCGCGATCCTCCCCTCTCAGGATTGTGGGGTTCCCCCTCCCGACGAAGAACGCCGCGATCTCCTTTCGGGGAATCCCGGCCCACCTTGTTTCGCAAGGGATCGAGGGAGACCGCACGCACGGCGATCCTCGCTGTTTCGGGTTCCTTCTAATCCTCACGAGATACCGCGGGCTTTCTGTTTTTTCTATCTGTCCCTTCTGAATCTCAGATCTCGATCTTGGCCCTAAAAGGTATAGCCTGGTGCGATCTTCCACTGTCAGAATTCCGAATCGCTGTTCTTCGCCTCTCTATTGGATAACTGTTCGCGGCTCGCCAATCGCGATAGTCAGCGAGGACTACGTCCGACGGACCGCGGCGCTCTCCTTGTCGAGAGAAAGATTGCCAGCGATCATCCTTCTGATACATCGATCGCGGAGCGCGGCCTGCTTGCTCTCACTGCTGGCGCTGCGGTCGGTCGCCCCGCTGTAGCAGTCGCCAGCAGGCGCAATGAGAGCCGTCGGCCGCCATCTTGCCGGGCGGTCATATGTGTGGCAAGACGGCCAAAAAATCAGTGGTTTCGGTTTCTAATGTAAACAAATACATCTAGCTTGCTAGCTGTGAGGAGGCTCATCATCTTATGAGCCCGAGCAGCGACCGAGCAAGCCCAATCTCAACAAAAGATTTACTTTCCTCATGACCGGTGGATTGAGCAATCGACCCAGCGACCGACCGATCGACGGGCAGAATCCGATCCACTAGTTCGCGTGAAGAACAACGCACGAGAATTTAGGGACACGACTCGCTGCTGCAATCGACCATTGTTGCTACTTAAAAAACTGTGAAGTGCTAAGTTGTTATTGCTGCTCTCAGATCTGCTGCTGTGAATCAGTTAGTACTGCTGCTGGAACTTCTGGTGACCGACTCGACTGCAAGTACAGCCGAGACGACAGATGAGCGGCCAGGCAAGCGACCGACATATCGATAGTCTGACCGCCTGGTTAGCTCGATAAGCGTCAAACGAGCGGAAAGGCTCTACGGTGGCTCGGTTGCTGGTTGCCAGGCTCGATCGCTCGCTCGCTCGCTAACGGACTAGTTCGTAATCTTCATTGTTGTGTGAGATCTTGGTGTACTGAGTTGAATTTCTCGGCCGTCGCTTCCTATCATCCCCGTCGCCCATCTATTCCTCAATGACAACGACTACGACGTCGACAGACGATAGGATCTATTGGACAAGGGTTGTATTGTGTGGAAAAAATTGTCGCTGCTGAAACAGACGGAAAGCCTTCGGTCGAACGTCACCAGTTTTAGACTTCACCGTCGTCGTCATCCTTCGTTATTATTGACCATCTACGTCTCCGTTGATCGAATGCTGTCCCCAGTGCAAAGAGCGCTACTGCGACTTCTGTTGTCGTTTCGCTGCTGTCCTCCCTTCGATTTGATGATTGAATAATTATTCGATCGATCGCTCGAACGGACGATTGTGCCACCCCCACCAGCACTACTGGAACAACTGTGTTGCCGGCGCCATCTTTCTAGTTGTTTTTGTTTCAATTGTTTCCTTGGAGCAACACCTGGATCGACGCCATACGATAGTGTTGGCCGGTGACCGCTCCTTGAGGAATCTGCGAGAGAATCCGAGCAAGTGGATAACCTGGAGCACTTGGTTCGACATCTCTATCAAAGGGCCGTTGGTGTGCAGCTGGGAGGCGGAACGATGCAGCAGCAGGCCGGAGCCCTTTCGCCCATTTACCTTTGTCATGTCTGTCAACAATCGTTCCCAACCGAACGAGCTCTCAGTGCTCACTATCGACAACACAATCAAGAGCTCATGCGTTGCACCCACTGCGGTGCCGGCTTTCATACGAGCAGTCACCTGACGGTGCATCTACGAACCCACACAGGAGAACGGCCGTTCCAATGTCAATTCTGTGACGCGCGCTTCATCAACTCGAGTCATCGGAAAATTCACGAACGCATCCATACCGGTGAGAAGCCGTACGAATGCAGTAGCTGTCCGATGAAATTTGTCAGCTCGTCGCATCTACGAAGTCATCTACGAACTCACACCAAAGAAAGACCTTTCGGCTGTGGGATGTGCGACGCGCGATTCCTCAACTCAAGTCATCTCAAAGTACACCAGAGAACTCACACAGGTGAGAGGCCCTACTCATGTCAACGATGTGGGCAGAGTTTCGTAAGCACTTCTCATCTGCGTAGCCACGAGCGTACCCATACCGGCGATCGTCCGTTTCGGTGCACCATCTGCATGGCCTCATTCCTGTCGTCGAGTCATCTACGGGACCATTATAAGGTTCACACTGGCGAGGGTCAACACGAGTGTCCAACTTGTAGCGCGAAATTTCTGACCAAGTCTAGTCTTCGGAACCACGAAAAGGTCCACCGAAGACAAGACGACCCTCCTCTAAGCGTTGATAGTTCGTCAAATCACGAGTCCTCGTCATCGCATTCGCTGCTGCGTCTGGAGCCCGCAATAACTATACATGAAAGCGAACCTCTTGCTTTGAGTCTCGGGGGTAGTTCGTCGTTCAATCTGCTTCAAGCCACCGCTGCATCGACCTCGTCCAACAGCAACAATAACAACGGAAACAACAGCAGTAGCAACAACAATAGTAGCAACAGACATAAAACCAATGACCACATGTCTGCGTCTTCAAGTTCAAAGAACAGCAGGAACCTTCCTGCGTCGTAGCTTCAAAATTGGGATCGAGAGCAAGTGGTAAGCGCTCGTTCCTAATCTCAAAACCGAAATGAAAACCCAAAAGCTAATGAGAAGCTTAAGACGAGGAACACACAAGGAATGTCTAAGAACGGTTATTGTATTCTGATATGGTGATTATCATGAAGATTCTATGTCGTGCGTGCGTATGAGGTATGCATCCATTCCGATACCGCGGCCAATATGATCACCCCCACCTCGGATCGCGATGGTCACGACTGACAGTGGAGTACACATACCAGAATGCGAGGAAATGTACGTTACATTCAGACAGATGCCTGTGATTGTATCTCTCTCTATGGTATGATGATATGATGTGTATTTTTCTCTTCTTCTGTCACGGGACTGGAATAATCTACAAGATATATTAGCTATTATTATTATTATCGATATTATTGTATTGCTGAGTGGGCACCGTATAGCAAAGTGGTGTATGCAGATAACTTAATTCATAATCAAATGTAAAGCTATATGTATCGCGGATACCCGGAGAATAAGAGGATATATCATAATAAAAGCGAGACTGACTACACCAGTTGATCAGTTCCACAAAAACATTTTGCTTGTTCTCATTATGGTTCTTCGCTTCCCCTGAATCAATTATCTGCTCATGTCCCTTTGCAGAAGGAGAGTCGATCCTCGAGTGAGTCGCCTCGCTGGGGTTCATTCAGAGGCAGAGCTGTGCGCCGCGCTGAGCATTGCAAGTCCCATAGACTCAATGCTTAAGCCAGTTCCTGTACACGGCGCACAGCACTGTTCAGAGGCCGATTCCCGTACAAGGGCACGCTTGCATGAGGAACTTCCTCCTGGAGTAGGAATCGGGACCGATTGTTATTGGACGCTTTCCTCGGGAATCCAATCGTCGACCATGATTGATTATCATGATTGCGGCTGACACTTCGGCGCGGCCGTGCCAATTGCCGTGAATATTTACGGCATTCGCGGAAAATTCTCAAAAGAGAGTCCATGGGGTCGGATAGTCCCGCGGCTTGCCGGGGAAAAAGCCGCGCCTCCGATTCCCACCCTCGATTGTAATCGTCATTTTTCATTCATACAGTTTACTCTTGCCGGTCAGGAGCAGGTGGTACAGTGTCGAGACTCGAGACCCCGAAGAGCGACTCCGAAAACATATCGAAAGTATGATGCGAGAGCCAGACACTTCCATTCAGAAATCGGAAACTTGTCGTCACGGAACACGCAGCGCTCTATTGGCGGAATCGTAGCCCATACCCAAACAGACGAATAATAAGGCTGCGTGAATCCGCAGTGCTGTGAATGACATAGCATTCGCTTCAAACTCGAACTCTGAGAGGGGGAAGTGTTAGTCACCGGCATTCGGAATCCGATTCCGCTCATGAGGAGCATTGCGGAATTAGGACAATGTCGATCTGAACCATCCTCATCGTGATGGTTCAAATTTATACGACAATCCGCCTACTCACCTAAAGCAGAGCGTCCCTCGGGTTCTTTTTTTTCCAGTGAATTCGGATATTCCCAGCTGACGTAGTCGTCGGTTAATCGGGGAGGCGCTCGCTCAATAATTATTCATCAAATACCAATGCACTGACTCTGTGGCGACGACTCGACAAAGAAATTGAGCCGCAGACCAGACCAGTCTTTAGGAAGCGGTGCCTCAAAATGGAAATTCACCGTAAATTGTTCGAACCTCGACTCAGAGAATTTTACTCAACTCATGGTCGAATGCCGTGTACACCTAAGGAGAAAGACATTCTCAGAGAGAAGTCGTCGAGTCCCCGAACGATCTCCAGTCTCACCACCCTTGAGTCCCTATCGAAGGGAATGCGCGATCGCCTTGATTGGGAAACCTACCACCATAGTATCCGAACAGTTGTAAGCGTTGCTTGTGAAAAGCTCCGGATTGCTGACGCAATCCCCGAGCTCCACGTTCTCGGGCATTATCATTTCACGGGCCAGCCTCCGTCAGGACGGCAGACCCGTGAGCACGTAGTCCTGACGGATTTCAATCTCGCTCCCATTGAAATGAGCCGGATCATCGGGTCTGATACCACTTGTACATTGTGACCCATCGGGATTTCGATGTGCTCTACGAATCCTTCTCGAGCTCGAAGAAGTGGAACTGTCTTCGGTTTGTTAAAGGACTCGCTCTATAAACACATTGATTACAGGCCTGAATCCCAGAAGAATCTCATACACTCACGTATAACGTTATTCTCAAAGAAGCTCCCAGCTGCCGCTTCAAGACTAAGTAAGTTCAGCGCCGAGGCATAGCTCATGAAACTGTTCGAGGCCTTCATGGACTTCACCTTTGTGGACTTTGCGTCCGAAAAGACTGGACGGCGGCTTTCAGAAGTTCCCTCCCATCAGGCGTAGTCAACCAATGAATTTGATCGAACGAGATGAGGAAGACTCCTCGTATTTCAAATCAATTAGGCTAGCTGTTTCTCCGGCGATTATCGGACTGGGTGGGGGCGAGAGACCAAATGAGAATGAGATGGAGAGAATTATTGGGAAGCAGTATATCTGCGAAATATCTGTTACAGGATTCTTCAGGTTCCGCCTCTGGTCATGCCGATACTGGCGTACACTGGTAGCTCCTCCGAAGTACTCTGGTGCCTTCCACTTCCTCCAGCGTCTCTGGAAGACTGACAATGAGATACCCCTGTGGCATGCAGAAGGCAGACAACATCTGACGAACTCTTAATTATTATTGTTCCGGAATTCCCCGGGCAGGAGCTCCAAGCCGTCGGCGACGCTCACGTAGACCGACGAGACCACGAGGCGGGCACAATAATGGCGAAGATAACTCGGATACATCGATATTCCCCGCATGGGGGAGAAACCGGCGGATGGAACGAGGAATCGCAGATTGGAATATGTTCACTGTGCTCACTGTGCCTTTGCCTAGCGCGGTTGAGCGTGAGAGATTTCTGAACAATCTCGATCCCTGCGCTCAAGAAGTCAGAATGAGATCGCGGATCCAGCGTCGGACAATTAACTACCGTATTCTCTCTAATAGTGGGGCATGCTGCTCTATTTTTCGAGCTTCCGAAACATGCCCCTACATTGGAGAGTGCCCGAATATTAGAGAGTGCCCCTCTATGTTTTCAGCAACCCGAGAACGGATTACAGCCCATAGCCTGCCGTGTGGAGCGTGCCCATTCATTTCCCAACCAGATTGTGGAGTTCTCAAGAAATCAGGAGCAATCATCAGATCACTCTCCAATCAGGAGCAGTTCTCAAGAAATCATTTTCTATTCTCCTCAAAAAGGTGCCCCTCTAATAGAGAGTGCCTGTATATTAGAGAGTGCCCTTCTATATTTTCATCTTCCGAGAAGTTGCCCGTCTAATGGAGAGTGCCCGAATAAAAGAGAGTGCCCCACTATTAGCGAGAATACGGTATTTCCGATTCTTTCTGTGCGAGGGGCTAGTGATTCCGACCGAGTTCCTTCAGCTCCACTCCATGCTCGAAGTCGCGCTCTCTCCAAACTTCTTCTCCAGTGCTTCTGAGAGGTGGCGGAGCAACCACGATCAGAGGTTTGCAGTCGATCGAGTCAGAAAGTGAAACACCTGAGAGCGAGAGCGATGAATACCCACCGGAATCTCCGCATGAGAACACCTCCGATCGCGATCAGTCCAACTCGGAAGTGAAATATGGCACCGAGTCATCTCGTGTTCCGAGCGTGGCTCATCTATATAGGATTTTCCCGGATTCTCTGGGTTCGAGGTTTCCCTGACACAGCGGAAGGTGAGCTTAATACAATAGGAAAACACGACTCTACATTGGAGTGAATGTCAGTGACAATATTCCCCGGGCTTGATACTCCAAGTTGACTGACTGAGAGACGACGCTCCGAGTCCCGGGCATCCCCGATGAGGTGGTACTTCTCAAACATCGATTGCCCTCGGGTAAACGAGGCCGGAGTGGTGAATTTTGCGAGGAATAGGGATCGAAACTTTCGCCCGCGGATCCCCCGGTGCCGGAGATCCGAACGGGGCTCTTCGCATCGGGGAAATTCTTTGGTGCTGATATCCGCATGGAGCTCCGCACGCGCGGGTCCATCGACTCCCGTTGCTTCATTTGGATGTCATTGAGAGTTACTCGTTTCGAAATTTATTTGGGAGTGAAATTCATCGACGAATGCTTTTCAGAGAGCCTGAGATCACACCCTGCTTCGAATCACTCCTATTTGCCAATGCTGCCCAGCTGGATGCGTCCGTCGGGGATCTATGGGGTACTCCGTCCGCCTGGGCCGATTTCATGTTCAGCGAGAGGAGGATTCAGGGGCACTTGTGAGCCAAAAGTGAAGTGCACCTCGCTCGGAAGGGCATTCACAACCAGCAGAAATTGCCCAGAGAATGGACAAGTGTGTTGTTCGGGTTAGTATTGCTTATAGTCATCGTAGGTAACAGTAATCGGCGTAATCCGTTCGTTTGCTCACGTGGGAACGGATCCCGAGCTCCCGTTAGAGAACGAGCCTTCTCAAGAAATATTTTCCCTTAGAAAGCGCCCCGAAAGCCCTAGTGACTTGCAACAAGAAGCTCGGCACATCTGGGTATCATTTCGTCAACTACATTGATGTGAAGCCGACAGAGGCTTGCGGAGTTCTCGTCAAAGTGCCTCGAGGTGTGTGCAAGATACGCCTGGATTTCCTAGCTTTCAAAATATCCCAGCCCGCGGTGGATACGGACGGGAGGCCTCGATGCTCTGACGACGTTTTCTACTTATATGGGAAGTCGGGCTCAGTGGCCTACCCCCAGATATGCGGAAACAACGACAACCAGCACAGTGAGTCCATCGATATCCGAATGCATATCCAGAACTCCGAGACCCAAGCATAGGCCCGATAATGCCCTCCACCCTGACCCTGACTTGATTATATTTCAGTGCTCATAGACGTCCAGGAATCGGAGAAAGTCTTCATGTATATGAAATTGGTTCCGTACCTCGTCGACATCGAGCGTTATTGGAATATCCGGATCAATTTCGTCAGATGCCAGTCGCGTAATATCGGTAAGAATATTGGGGCGCATGAATGGGCTAGGCCGGGATTTCGAAGAGCCAACTTAATTCAGGCATTGACCTCATTCGTTCATTCCAGCGCCTCCTGGTTGTTTGCAACAGTATACTTCGAATAGCGGCGCCATCCGACCCTTCAATTTCGCTTCCCCAAATAATCTGATCGATGGCTTGAAGTACCAAGTGTGTTTGACACCTCCGACGAACTCCTGTCAAATCATCGTGAACAATCATATCCACAACATTCAGGGACCCGTCTCCCTAGACTTCATGACACAGGAGAACACCACTGTCTCGATATCACCCTTGGCTCCGATGCAGAATGCGACGGATCTAATCGGCGCCTCGCGTCGAGGCAGATCGATGGAAGCTGTCGAGTCAGGGAAAGTCCGAAGCGC